AAGCAAAAGAACCATGTTCTGGGTTGACATACTTCAGTTACCAAGAACAGTGAGCTGAAAGCAGATCCACAGAAGCTTAAAAGCAAAGTTATTACATTTTGAGACTTTCCCAAAACTATAAGGACTATGATGGATTAGGCCTTTGCTTCAGTTTGGCAGGTGGTGCTGCTAGGTGGTGAGTTTTATACTCTGAGTGGTACTTTTATCATGAAGTTAGTTGAGCTAGGGAGCATCTGGGGGAACTACTAAGTTCTGTGGCCCTTTTACAGCACAAGTAAAAGCTATTCCTTTCCTAATTTTGTTTTACAAGTATGTCATTAATAATAATGTCCTTATATATAACAACCTGTGCCTTCACATAGACCCTTGACTCACTGTAATATTATTGCTGGTAGCATTTTGTAAAAGAAAGTGTTTGAAAATTCAAACAGCCCTGTGAGGAAATTCTACACTATATCTGTCTGATGATTATATCCCTCTAAAGTACATGTAGACTAGATTGGATTCATGCATCTTTCTAAATATTTGTTTATTCATCTAACCTCCGTGAATGTATGTATATGTTCCTGTGTGAGTTTATGTGCAGGAGATTGTGGAGGCCAAAAAAGTCCATACAAGCCCCTGGACCTTGAGTTACAGACAGGTATAAGCTTCCACATGGATGCTGAGTCCAAACCCTTGTTCTCTGCAAGAGCTGTAAGCACTCTTTGTTTTTCAATTTTCTTTATTAAGAAATTTTCTACTCATTCCACCTACTATCCACAGATCAGCCATCCTCCCTCCTCCCACCCCCAGCCCTCTTTCTCAAGCCACCCCACATCCACCAAATTGAGGTCTTCCATTGGGAGTCAGCAGAGCCCAGTGCACTGAGCCTAGGCAGGTCCAAGTTCCTTCCCAATGCACCAAGGCTGTGCAAGGGGTCACACCACAGGCACCAGATTCCAGATGCTTGCCCATAGACCAGGGACAGATCCCGATCCCGCTGCCTGGTTGTCCCCCAAACAGTTTGAGTCAAACAAACATCTTCTGTATACAGATGGCCTTGTCCAGTCCCACGGGGGTGCTACATCCACTAGTCCACAGTTCTCTGTCAGATGTGGTTGGTGAAGTTCTTTTCCTATTCTGTAGGCTGTCGTTTGGTCTTATTGACTGTGCCCTTTGCTCTACAAAAGCTTCTCACTTTCAGGAAGTCCCATTTATTAATTGTTGCTCTCAGTGTCTGTGCTACTGGTAAGCACTCTTAACTGTTGAGTTATCTCCTGCCACTGAAGTCATGAATCCTACACAACTTGTTCTTGCCACTGCCTACAAACATTGTTGACAAAGAGAGATATTGGGTCACCATGTGTTGTGATG